TTCTGCTCTATAGGAGAAATTACATGAAAGAGGCCTAATTTGTTGTTGTTGTTAGGCCTCCAGACTAAATATTTGTTTCTGAGCAGCGGCGGGTCCTCCGAGGTGAAGTGATAAACACTTTTGGCCTTCGACTGAAGGTAATAAAAATTTGTCCAGGCCGCCGGGGAGGAGGGGCGCCGGTAAACCCGGAGTTGCGGCGGAGACGCGCGTCCACGAGGTCTGGCTCCCATTTTCGCGCCAACGGTTCCGGGGCCCTGGGGCCAAAACCGCCCGGGCCCGCGTCGGGACAGAAGCTCGCTCAAGGACTGGGGCCGCTGGGTGTGGTGGGACAGCAGGACGGCTAGAGCCCGGACTGCCCACCCCGGGCACATTTTCTTTAGGGTAAGTGATGTCCCCACGGCTCGGAGGTTTCGGTTTATAAGGGGAGATGCAGATTTGGCGACTCCAGGCTGACTCAGTACTGGCAACTTTTTGCTGCCATCCCCCGGCTGGCGGGCGTCGCGCGCTCTGTCTCTTCTGGGCCTCTCTGGCTGCTTCTATTTCTCCTTCTCCTTCCTCCTGCAATCCTGCGCCCCACCAGGGATGGCCATGGGTAGGGAGTGGGGGTTGGGAAGTGGGGAATGGGAGGGGTACTTTCTCCCTGGACTCTGGGCTACCCAGACCCGCTGCTTGCCTGAAGCTCGTGCGCCCTCAGACGTGACAGGAGAACTTGCAGGGACATCTAGCGCCAGGCTTGGGGAACTGCGCGCCGCCCAGCGGGGAAGCGAAGCCTGAGCCCTGGCCGCTCCGCCTCCCTCCCTTCGCCGCCCGCCCCGCCTGCCCCTGCGCGGTTAGGCATTTCCCTGACCTTCATCCCTTCGCCCTGCCCGTGACCACACGCGGACTCCCCAGAGACAGAGGGCTCTGCAGGAGAGAGAGAGAGACATTTGTTTTCTTTCATCTCGAAGGGCGGACAGAGTGAGCACTTAGTGGACCTTAGTTAACAATGATATTGCTAGAGAAGTATGTCTCGAGGACAATGTCACACCTGGAGATGTCCGACAAAACAGCAGACAATTGTTGGCGGTCCCAGCTTTTGTTTTGGGAAAAAAGCAACAAGTTAGCTGGTCCTCCGGCTCTGGGCCCACCCTCCGGCGCCGCCTTCGCAGTGAGATCAGGACTTCTCGGAGAGAGAAGCCCCTCGCTGTGTTTAATTCCCGCCAGGATTGGAGGCGTTCTCTCCATCCCAAACAAGGGCCCGCTGCCCTGCGGGAGGCAAACCTGGTTTTGCCAAATAGCACTTCGGGTTTGGAGAGAGGTTTTTGTTGTTGTTGTTGCAAACAATTTACATTTAATAAAGCCTAATTGTGTTGTTAAATCCAAACGGACTACATCTCAGACATAGAAAGTGCCCAAACTCCCGATTCCACCGTCTGGCTTTCCTGGAGACCCCTTTCTTCACCCTGGGTTTGTTTTTTTAATCCTTTTGATATCTCCAGCCTGAGTGAAACTGGGTATTGCCTCCAGAGGGAAAATTAACTCCAAAGTTGGCAGCACACAGTCTTGGTTAAGAACACTATCCAGCCAGTTCCGCTCGATCTAAGACTTTACTTTGGAATTAAGACTTTATTTCTACACTGAATTTTTGGCTTCTTACAAGTTAATTAGGAGGGTATCCTGCACTTCCTGGTGCGGCAATCAAGGAAAACACTTTCAAAGGAGTCCCCGGGACCCCCCTCTGATAGCACCCTGCGATTGTTGTCCTGGCCCTAATGGCCAATGATTATGTGGTTAATTGAGCTCATTGCTGTCTTGGCAAGCAGAGGAACTTATATTCTTCAATAAATCTAAATCGCATCCTGCATCTACCCATTCCAGAACCCAGGACAGGGACATGATTGGAAAGATCATCTGCCAGGAGGAAAGGAGAGAATGTGACTTGGAGAACACTGATTCCCAAAAAGAGTGCTCGGGCTGGGAAAGCAGGGAGAAGAGCAAGTAATGGGACAGGCAGAGCTGATCTGATTCTCTCTCCGATAGAGACTTTGGGCAATGAGGGCTATCCTGAGTTTCTACCAAAACCAAGAAAGGTGACAAAACTGGTTTCACTGAATAACACATCAACGTTTGGAGAAATTTCCGGTTGCAAAAGATTCTCATTTAACAAAGACCATTTCTGTTGTTAAAGCCCCAACATAACACACCCACACACAAACACAAGTCTGTGCTCCTGGCCAGTTAAATAAAATTATTCCCATTCAGTTTAAACCTGAAATCAGCTTGGACACAGGATATACAAGCTAAATGAAATGTTTCTGCAAATTCAGCTTGAAAATTCCTCCCATACCTACCACCCTTGGTGTGTCGTCTTAGTTCATAAACAAAGCAGCCCTGACTGCCTGGTACTTAAACACAGCCCTATGATTCAATAACAGCTGTTGCCCTAGGGTGCTGGGTTTAGGGACCCTCACAGGGTCCAGTCAGAGCCTCTTTCCTTAGGGGAATCCCTTCCCCCAGGGCCAGAACCCTGAAGGGTGAGCTGGAAGCAGGTTAAGCCACAGGATAGCAAGAGGCAATGCTCCTTATTGTGCAAACCCTCCCTGGTCTCTGAACACTCACTAGGATGGGCAGAGAAACCCCAAGCCCTATGATAGTCCCACAAGCCAACTGAAGGGCAGGGCCACCATTGAGAAGTGCCTTTCAACCAGAGCACTAATTCAGACTTTCTTCCAGTCCTGCACAACTTAATTTGCTGCACGGAAAACTAAGCCAAAAGTGAAGGGCTGTCAGAAATCAGCAAAACTTGACAAGTTCTTTCTTCCTATCTTAATTTCACTTTGTTCATTTTTTTTATCACATCGGTCATTAAAATATATTTATCAGATAGAAAATGGCACAGAAGTTTCAGGGCACAAAATCAGAGAGACATTTAGTTTTAACAGACTGAAAGTTCGTTGGTTCCAGTTATGTCTTAGAAATATTTCAATGAATTTGTTTTTTGAGGTCACAGAAAAAAATTTAAAAGTATCTCCATGTTTTCTCCTTCTGAGAAAAAGAAAGGGAAATGAAAAATAAGAGCATTTCAGGGCGGCATCCCATGATTCGTTTGGTACCAAAATTGTTGGGTAAAGAGGACCCAGCCCAACTCTTCCAAAAAGTAAGCAACTTTGTCACCTGTCCCTGACTGGTGTTTTTAAAATGCCAATCCAGCTCTCCTTACTAACTTTTGTTATCTTCTCTCAAGTAGCCAAAATTGTTCTCACCAGCTTAGCCATTCGCCCCCCCCCCACCCCCCGCCATCTCAAATTTGATCATGAACACGTCTAGGACTTCAAAAAGGTCAAATTCTCCTGCTTTTCCTTTCCAGTGCCCCTCTCATAACTTTCCCCTTTATTTGAGCCTTTTATGGTTACTGCATTTTGCGTGTCAACACTCTCAACACCAGCAGCCCACCCTGCAATGCCAGGCCAGACAAGAGGGTCTCCCTGGCTCTTCTACTTGCCCCATCCAGCTCCTGTCTTGGGTCGAGGAACAGCGGGGTAGGTGACTAGCTGGCCTCAGGAATCACAGGCTCAGGAGAGCAATTTTCTTGGAGATGGGCTGGCCTGGGGAGTTGATACTACAGAACCAAATGGGCTTACTCTGAGGGCTGCCAGAGCCACCCCAGCACCCTCGGCTCATTGAATGTAATGTTGCTTCTAAGTTGGAGCCTTAAATTCACCTCAGGACTCACACGAGCCCCCCATTAATGGCTAAGATGGAGGATGGTGGGCTGGGGCTCTATGGCTGAGGAATGGCAGGAAGGGATGAGGAGGGGCCAGGGCTGTGATCCCTGACACCCTGGCGGGCTTCCTGGAGCCCATTCTACCCCCTCGAAGTCAGACTCGGTTGCTGGTTGCTCTCGGCTGCTATTCTCATAAGCCCCAACTTTGCTTGGAAAAACCGCCTTCTTAATTTGCCTCTCTCAGTTCTCTGTAGTTAGCTTGGAAAAGAAAGCGAAACAAAGGTCCCTGGGAAAGTGAAGTTTTCAATTAATTGGTGTGAGTAACAGGCGGGGGTGGGTGGTGGCTGCAAAATGCAAGGGGCCGGTCGGCTGCAGGAGAAGCGCAGTAGTTTCGTGGCGGCGGCGGAGTGGCTTTCTCTCGGCCCACTCCATTCGGTCCTTCTGCGGGCCGCGGAGGCTGCGCCAGGGCTGGGGAGCCCAGCTCAGGAGGAGTGTAGAGGCGAATAGCGTGGACCAGGCATCTGGACTTTTCTCGCTGGGGCATACCGTCAGGTTCGCCGCTCCCAAGCCAGGTCTTTTCGTCTGCTTGATTTACTCGTAAGTCTCCGCGCCCGGCCCCACGGTCACTTCGTGGGCATTTTCCAACGGACAGCGTGTGGGGATAGGAAAGATCTGCTCCAATTTGTCTTAATTCGGAGGATCCCCTGGAATAACATGCGTGAAATGCCTTGGCCCCGTAGCAAGGTAAGGAAGATTAGCTCCTCCGGGTTTGGAGTCTAGGTCAGCTAATCCGAGGGATTAAGCAACAGGATCAAAAATCGGTCTGTTTTCACCTCATTCTAACCATCTCTGTCCTTCGCCTTCACGTAGTTGTGCAGCTCGGGGAGCCGAGGAGAGGTGGCAAAAGCAGCCGTGGCCGAGACAAGGCGCAGGCCTCGGCGCCCGCCTCAGTCGCAGACAGGGCCTAGGATGGGCGGTCGCGCAATCAGCTCGTGGGGGTGGCTGCGGCGCAAACGCCTGGGTCCGGGGGAGGGCGGGAAGGGGAGGTGGGCTGCGCAAGGGGCAGAGGAGGGGTGGGGGCTGGGGAGGGGTGGGGGCCGGGGTGGGTGGGTCTGGCGGGGCCCAGGCCAGGAGCCAGGCTCTCCCGCGCCCCCACCCCCACGTGGCCCCGCGCAGCCAATGGCACAGCCTGGAGCGGGAGCCCTCGGGGAGGGAGGCGGCCCCCCGACCGGCCCAGGCCCCCTCCCAACCTGAACTTCGTTTTTAAAAACGTCCCGCGATGAGCTAACCTGTTGGAGGGCGGGCGGGCGGGAGGCGGGAGGCTCGCGGAGGGAGAGAGGGCGAGAGGAAGAGGGCGGGAGCGAGAGACCGAGAGAGAAAGGAGAGGAGGGAGGAGGCGCGCCGCGCCATGGTGTCCTGCGCGGGGCCGGGGCCAGGGCCAGGGCCGGGCCAGGCCGGGCCATGAGCCGCCCCGGGAGCTGGGACATGGACGGGCTGCGGGCGGACGGCGGGGCCGCGGGGGCGGCCCCGGCCTCCTCCTCGTCCTCCTCCTCCGTGGCGGCGGCGGCGCCGGGCCAGTGTCGCGGCTTCCTCTCAGCGCCAGTGTTCGCCGGGACACACTCCGGGCGTGCGGCCGCGGCGGCGGCGGCGGCGGCAGCGGCGGCCGCGGCGGCCTCTGGCTTCGCCTACCCGGGGACCTCTGAGCGCGCGGGCTCCGCCTCGTCGTCGTCATCTTCGGCTGTGGTCGCAGCGCGCCCCGAGGCTCCCTCGGCCAAAGAGTGCCCGGCGCCCGGCGCAGCCGCTGCAGCGCCGCCGGGCGCCCCGACCCTGGGCTACGGCTACCACTTCGGCAACGGCTACTATAGCTGCCGCATGTCGCACGGCGTGGGCTTACAGCAAAACGCTCTCAAGTCGTCGCCGCACGCCTCGCTGGGGGGCTTCCCGGTGGAGAAGTACATGGACGTGTCGGGTCTGGCAAGCAGTAGCGTACCGGCCAACGAGGTGCCCGCGCGGGCCAAGGAAGTGTCCTTCTACCAGGGCTACACGAGCCCCTACCAGCACGTGCCTGGCTACATCGACATGGTGTCCACCTTCGGCTCCGGGGAGCCTCGGCACGAGGCGTACATCTCCATGGAGGGCTACCAGTCCTGGACACTGGCTAACGGGTGGAACAGCCAGGTGTACTGTGCCAAGGACCAGCCACAGGGCTCCCACTTTTGGAAATCATCTTTTCCAGGTAGGGACGTTGGAAAAAGGGGGAGGGAAGAAGGGAAGTGGGGAGGGAGGGAAGAAGGGGCGGGAAGGAGAGAAGGAAAAGACAAGACTAGGAGTGCATGCCCCTGCTTAGGGGTGGGCTCCTGTCGTCCTCGCCCAACCAGGGTTAACCCAGTGCAACAGTTTGTCGACTTCAGGTGAAATCTGTAAATTCCTCCTTTGATTTAAACTACCTCTCACAACCCTTTTCGTCTTGTGTGCAGGCACAGGCCTGTTTTTCTTCTAAAGTTGAGGGTCTTTGCATGCCCTTTGCTCAGGCCTCGGCCCCTCCTCCCCAAAGAGGTGTCACAAAGTTGGGCCCCACTTTTCAAGAACGTTACTGCCCCAGAGTGACCACTAAAGCTTCTAAGAGCTCACACCTCCAAACACAGGAGCACAAGAAATCAAAGCTTGAACAAACAGCCTGGATTTTTTTCTATATCTGTATATGTTTGTGCGCAACCGGCACTTGCAGAAACTGTCCTTATGAGCGTCCCCACTAACCACGCCATAAACTTGCAGGCTTGTTAAAATGCCGGTTGGAGAAACCAAGATGATCCATCAAATTGGCCTTGACTTTGAAGTGTAAATAATCTTTCTCTAATACGTTTAAATAATATATCTGTATAAATAATAAAGTGTAAACAGCCTGGCTCTCTATACTCCCTGTACCCCCTCCAAACGTACGCACACACTCCCCCGGAGCTGGTGCTCCATACACCGCAGTCTAATTTTTCCCGTGCTGTTTTTTATACCAGGGGATGTAGCTCTAAATCAGCCAGACATGTGTGTCTACCGTCGGGGGAGGAAGAAGAGGGTGCCCTACACCAAACTGCAGCTCAAAGAACTGGAGAACGAGTATGCCATTAACAAGTTCATTAACAAGGACAAGCGGCGGCGGATCTCGGCTGCCACGAACCTATCTGAGAGACAAGTGACCATTTGGTTTCAGAACCGAAGAGTGAAAGACAAGAAAATCGTCTCCAAGCTCAAAGACACCGTCTCCTGATGTGGACCAGAATGGCCACAGAGATTTTAAATGATTTCAGTTGTCTCCAAAAGACCTTTGGAAAGACTTGAATATGTATTTAATTCCCCTCATCCCCCGCCAGTGACGGCAAATTTTGTGAATTGTTTCTCTCTCTTCTCCTTATCTGGCTCTAAAACCTTTTGCTTCCCGACCTAACTTTGTAGTTCTGTTTCTTACTTGTTTATTGTTGATTTTGTTCTTGTCTAGGTTTATTTTTTATGACGTTTTTAATGTTCTGTTTCTCCCTCCAGGCCAGTATAAAGGACTTGAAGTATTTTTTAATAATCTCCCCAAATGAATTTCAGAAGTGCCATTCTGACTTTAGGGTTTTATTTTTTTTAATCACTTTATATGCCTGTTTCCAGCACTGATTATCTTCATAATCCATTAGGGCAGGACGATTTGCAGTCATTCATATCCTGTGATTGGGTAATTGAATCATTAGGTCTCAGCAGTCGCCCTGAGGCAAGTGGAAACAGCTCTGGGCAGGCAGTGCTCTAGAGTCACTGGGAAAGTCTAAAAACAGGAGGCTAGAGGTCCTGTGATGGCTTTAAAAGCAGCTACCTTATTAAATAGGGTTTGTGTCAATATTGGAATGAAGACAATCTGATTTTGGGTCTTTCACTTGCTGTTGTAATTGTATGTGTTTAATACACCTTGTAGATTTGTGCTTTTATGATCTTTAATTTGAAAATAATGTGTCCTCGTGGATGCCTTCGTGTCCCCAGCTCTAGATGCAGATTGTTAGGTGGCTGCAATTGGCAGAGTGACCCGTGGCTGATATAAATGCACCCCTCTCCTTGGCCTTGTGTCTGTGGGGCGGGGGTTGAGGCCATCTCAGTCCCCTGAAAGAGGCTGAATCAATGTGACCATGGTTGGGAGCTTTTGTCCAGAACCCAATGAAGAACTTGACTGTCTGGGCCTCTCATGGAGCTCTAAAACATCTAACAAATGCAAAAAGTGCGGAGCTCTAAGGTCCAAGGAGAAAAAAATGTTTCTGAAATGACGATAAATAACTACTTTTAAAGTGCTGCATATTTATACAACTGAGAGATTATTTTTGTAGATGCAATGTCTGTGAGCTGGGATACGTGGGCAGTGCTTCAGGCATTTAAAAATCACTTTTTACTCCTAGGGAGATGCAAATAAACAGAACTCTCTTGTTTCCTTTGAGTCTTTATACATTTGTTTTCTTTTTCCAAGTTTGCGTTACCTCTGAAACTCTTCTTATTTATTATCAAATCTTGTTATCCTGATCACTATGATGTTCCCTGTAGATGAAGGAAACTCAGCACCAGTTCTAGTCTCTGAAACCTCCAGGCTCTCCACTTCCGCCACTCCTCCCCTCCTTTTCCCGTGGCTTTAACATAAGTAGTGATGTCTTTAAATGAGGATATAATTTGTGGTGTCTACAATATTTTTTACCAGACCAGCTCAAAAACATCTCCAATAAAATTTTACTTCTCTTTCAATATTATCAATTTATTCAAATAGTTTTTTAAATCAGTATTTATGTACGTGCCCGGATATAGGAAAACGTGATCACTTGGCAGCTTTCTTCCTAGAAAGGCCGGTATAAATATCTACTCTGGGAAGGTCTTGAAATTAGACATATCCATATTTGGCAATTGAAAAAGAAACATTTCAGGCTTATCTCCGGGCAGCCTGTACACAGCAGTTGACTGAAACCATAATTATACATCCTAAACCTCTGGACGCAATTTTTAGGCACTACAAACTTTGTTTTTGAGGCCTTTTGCCACTCAGGGAAATGGCCGCTAAGGAACTGGGTGCCTCGTCCTTGTTAGTACCCGGGCGCGATTAATTTAGTGGTTGCTAACTTTTTGGTATGTAAGTTAAATACAGATGTTTAAAACTTCACACAATATGTAAACTCTTCTGGCGGGAGGGCTGCCTTATAGATCTGGCAGAGAAAGCGCAGAGACCCAAGGTCCGGAGCTACTTTCGTTTTCTCTGGCCCGGCTTGACTTCTTTCATATCTTGCAACCGACTACGGCCGGCCAACTTTGTTTTAATTAAGAGAGAGAGAAAAAAGAAAAAGTGACCACGACGCAGTCTCTGGAGAAGAAATAACCTCTGCAAACGGGGCCACACCGTCTTCGACCTTTCGTTTTGGGAAGAGTTACTAACATTTCCTCTGTTCTTCTCACAAGATGCGTTTTCACCTAAAACGGGCCTGTTTTCCGTTCTTCTCCATCGTCGTCTTCCCCCCTTCTTTTTTGTAAATTCCAGACTCCAGGGCCGCACTCCATTTCCCAGGTCTCTTTCTCAGGTTTCCTGTTGTGGATAGGGGGATTGCCTCGAGGTCTTCCTTTCATCTGTAGTTTGCTAGTCAGTTTCCCTCCGCTTAAGAGAAATAGGAGATTTGCTGAAGATTAGAATTGCGCTCAAACGCTCTCCGGTGGAATTTGAATTGACGCTAAATCAATAACAGATGAAGACTTTGTTATTTATATGAATTCCTTTTATATTCCGAATTGAGGAGGGAGGAGAGGAGCCGGTCGGTGGCCCGCGGGGAGCCGTAAGGCGAAGGGAGCTTGGGGAGAGGCCTCTCCTTCGGGTGGAGACTGAGAGGCCGCAGGGAGAGCGCCTCCGAAACCTGGCAGGTTTCGAGCGCCGCTGGTGGAGAATCAAGGCCCGCGCGTGTATGCGTGATTCAAGAGGCGAAGGAAGCTAGGGAGCCGGCATGTACCGCCAGACAAAGGGGCGGCCGCGATGCTTCCCGGTGTCTGGCAGCTTGCTGGTTTCTCTGGCTCCGCTGTCCCGGCCAGCCTTGCCGCCACGATCTCCGACTTTTTGAGACGCTCGGCCGCGCCTGGCAGCGGGCCGTGACCGCACGGGTTGGCGACCCCGGGCCGGCTGCACCGCCCTTCGCTGTTGATCTTGACCGTGCGGCGGCGCCTCGCCAGGCGTGGAGCTCGCTCGCCATCTCCTGGGCGGTCAGAGGCATTGGCAGAGCTCGCCGTTTCGCTCCGCAGCCAAATCCTCCTTTCCCATTCTCCAGCTCACCAGTCTAGCCTCCTGCCCCCTCCCCCCTCGCTGCCCTCCCTCCCAGGCCGCAGCTCCCAGCTCCGTGCACACAACTTTGCCTGCTGGACTTAAGAAAGTATAAACCCAGGAGATAAGGTGGGGTGGCTGGGAACCATTTGAGCCAAGGAGAAATAGAGTCTAGTTGTTCTAGTATTTTCTGTTTCTCACTTAGTTCCTTGCAATCTTAGTCAGGGGCGGCGGGGGGGGCGGGTGGGCACACTGGAGCTGTGTGGCTGCCTAAGGGTCCGGAGAAGACGCCAGTGGACTTGGAAACAGCGGAGAATCGCTATATACAGAGATGAGAAGAGAAGAGACTGCAGGAGCTTTCGGGTCTGGAGAGGCTGCAGCTCCTCGAAAACAGGGAGTTTCCCAAAATGAGAGCCTGCGTCTCCTAAGTCCCTAGGAACTGAGGTTGCAGCTTGTGCGTACAACCCCCATGAAAGGACTGGGAGTGGAGTGCGTCTCTCTATGTCTGAGCTCCTAAGAAAACTGACAGAGCCCTGAGGATCCCCAGACTTGCCCACCTCCACCCCCTACCCCCTCCCTAGAGCGTGAGGACGAGGCCGATTGCGTTCCCCAGAGCCGCCCAATTGGTCGCCATAACTCACACAATAAAGTCGCAGCGCGGTGGTCAGCCTTGCCCTCCGGCGGCGCCTGTGTGGTCTCCGTGCTGGAGCTGGCGGTCTAACCAATTCCAGCTTGGCTCGGGGACCGCGAGGCGGGCTGCAGGCTGGGGCGGGCGCCAGTCACGGGGACGCTGCGGGTCTTGCGGCCAGAGGCAGGAGAGGAGGACCCCTAGTCCTTGGGTCAGACTAGACCGGAGGGCTTGTGGCGGGGGCTGCCACATTGCTCCGGGCAAGGCGGTGCTGCTCGGCCCGCCTCCCTATTCTCCAGACCCCCCGAACTCGCCAGCGGCCGGCGCTCCTGGAGGCGCCGAGCGGAGGAGGAACGCTGCTAGCGGCTGCCTCGGTGTGCCCCCGCTGTTCCCAGCTGGGTGGCTCTGGCTCTTCTGTCCTTCCACACCAGGTCCAGGGAGCTCGTCCTGCTCTGTCCACCACGGAGTGGATGAAGTTTGGCGTTCTGGTTTGCAGGATGTAGTCGCCAAGGTTACTCCTGGCGATAAAAGGAATGTAGCCTTTGGTCACGATTCGCCAAAGGAGCTGCCCCGTCCCCAGGCCAGCATACTCCATGGACCTGGATGGCGACTTCCCTAGGAGCAGAGGGCTTGGCCATGGAGGAGCAGACCAGGAATGGTGTGAAGCCTCCTTCCTGGAGGCCAAACTTGGGCAGAGTTTGTGGTGCATTTCTCCACCGGCAGCAAACTGTGCCTGCAGCCTGGGACCCAGGGCTCAGAGCGTGGGTCTTTGCCGCTAGATCACTCATGCAGAGTCCTCTCCAGAAGGACTGGGTGGGGAGGGATGGGGTAAAAATAGCATTGCTCAGGCCTAGGGACAGAGGTGGTGGCCCGGCCAAATCGCAGGATCTCCAGACGAGCCAAGGGGTGTGTGGTACTGAAGAAGGCCTCAGCTTCAACTTAAAGCTGGCAGAAGCAAGTCTGGCCCAGGTAGCTGGCAGAAAACGGGAACAAGAGGCCAATCAAGACCAAGAAGGGTCCCAAGGGACACTCCTGGCAAAGGCCCCCGATGCCCATGCCCCCAACTGCTGAAGCCGGGGGGGGGGAAACTCACAGAGGCCTCACCTTCGCTCAACATGCCTTGGCTCTGCCTGGCAGCCTCGTCCTTCGCCATCGAATATTGAGGGTGTTATCATAATACCCTGAAGGGGGGGAAAACGGGTCGGGGGATGTAGGCGGTGCTGAAATGACCGGCTTTGAAGAACCTGCAGGCAAAGTTTCGTCCAATCGTCTGAGCCTGTCCTCTTATTCCCGGTTGTAACTAAATACTGCTGCGAGCGGAGCCGAAGCCCTTTGTTGGAGATGTGTGAGCGCAGTCTCTACAGAGCGGGCTATGTGGGCTCGCTCCTGAATCTGCAGTCGCCCGACTCCTTCTACTTCTCCAACCTGCGGCCGAATGGCGGCCAGTTGGCCGCGCTTCCCCCCATCTCATACCCGCGCGGCGCGCTGCCCTGGGCCACCACGCCCGCCTCCTGCGCCCCAGCGCAGCCTGCCGGTGCCACCGCCTTCGGCAGCTTCTCACAGCCCTACCTGGCTGGCTCTGGGCCTCTTGGCTTGCAGCCTCTGGGCGCCAAGGACGGACCCGAAGAGCAGGCCAAGTTTTATACGCCAGACGCGGCCGCCGGGCCAGAGGAGCGTGGCCGTGCCAGGCCCTCCTTCGTCCCCGAGTCTAGCCTGGCCCCCGCGGCCGCTGCTCTCAAAGCGGCCAAGTACGACTACGTGGGTGTGGGCCGTGCTGCGCCGGGCTCTGCAGCCCTGCTCGAAGGGACCCCGTGCGCCGCCGGCTTCAAGGACGACGCCAAGGGCCCGCTCAACTTGAACATGACAGTGCAGGCGGCAGGCGTCACCTCTTGCTTGCGACCTTCGCTGCCGGACGGTAAACGGTGGCCACGCTCCCCGGGCCAGTTTGAGCCGGGATGGGAGGTGGGGTGCAGGGGAGAGTGTGTAGGGGGAGGGAGCCGCCTGGGTGGGCAGGCAACAGGGAGCAGGCCAGGCTGACTTGGGTTGGGGCTGTGTTGCAGGCCTGCCGTGGGGGGCGGCCCCGGGGAGAGCCCGCAAGAAGCGGAAACCCTACACCAAGCAGCAGATTGCGGAGCTGGAGAACGAATTCCTCCTCAACGAATTCATCAACCGGCAGAAGCGCAAGGAATTGTCCAACAGGCTTAACCTCAGCGACCAGCAGGTCAAAATTTGGTTCCAGAACCGGCGTATGAAGAAGAAGCGCGTGGTGCTGCGCGAGCAGGCGCTGGCGCTATACTAGTCCGGAGGGTGGCCACCGCCCCGCGGGTCCGGATCTGCCTTTTAGAGCCAAGGCCTGGTGTGGAGGAAGAGCTGAAACTGGGGCTTTTCCTTCCCCTTCTTCTCCGCTGTTCCCAGGTACCCTCCCGCTCAGTATGCAGCCCCAGAAGCCAGCAGACTTGGAGACCTGGCCAGTTGGGCCTTTACGCTTTCGCCTTTTTCAGAGGGGCATGAGAAGGTTGCAACACAACCTTGGCCTTGAGTTTTCCCGAGTAGGGGTCACCTGTTCTAGCCCTTGGCTGGGATATTTACACTGGGCCTCGCTGTAGCTCCCTCGTAGTTGAATTTCACCTTCCACCTGGTTAGTTTCCCTTTTTCCTTCTCCCCAGCCCTTCTGTATTTAGCAAGGGCCTAACTCAGAGTGGAATTGAATTTAAGAAGGCCTCCTGGGCGTAGTGGAAAGGGCTGAGGGCACAATTGTGTCTCTTTTCATCCAAAGCTTCTTGTGGCAAAGCCAGAGTGTCAACTCTGGAAGAAGGAAAGATGGCACCATTCCCCCTCCTCTCTGCCCTGGCTGGTTAGGGAGGACAAAAGCCAGCCTAGACCTTTAGATTTTGGGAGGAAAGCGGAGGGGAGGGACAGGGTGGCAGGACAAACTCCAGAGACACCTCTGAGTTCAGAATGAGTTGGCCCCTCCAGCTGGGCGGAATGGACTGGATACTTCCTTCCCGTGGATGGGACTAGGTAGGCTGGGGCTCCACAGCAAACTGCAATCTCCAGAGAGGACTGGTAAAATTCCCTACTTCTCCCAGCTCCTTACACATGCCTAGGCCAGAGCCCTGCACTCTGTAACTGGACCCCCAGAGCTGAGTTCTGGTGAGAAGAGCTGCTAGTCTCCTTTGAAGCTAGGTTGCACTAGGAGGAAGGAAAAATATCCAGGGGGTAGAGAAGGGAGTGAACCAGGAGGGGGGGGGGTCCTACATTCCAACTGTAAATAAGGCTTTCCTGTCTTGGTGAGTAGAGGTGTTGAAGACAACATGTCTTTCTTTCTTGAATTACCATAATGGGTCACTGCAGGGAGAGATGAAATCTCCTCCACAAGTCAGGGGATGAGGAAGGAGCCCCCTCAGACCCTCAGCTCCTGGTCGCTGCTCTTGATAAGTAGAGAGGAGCAGAAGTTCCCCTCTCTTCACCCTCTCCACCACCCGCAAACTCCTCCAGGGGCCCAGCCACTGTGCCCTTTCTAAGGCCCTGTCTGGCCTGCCCCAGAGAAGTCTTTGAGACCCTGGGCCCTGCCCTGGAGCTTGCTTTGTGGAGGCTGGGGTTCCTGAATGCCAGATGGAGTTGTTCTGGGTGTGCTGGGGTGTCCTACCTTAACATCAGTGAACCCAAGGGCCCCTCCAAGCTCCTTCTACCTACCATCCCTGCCTCTTCTCCCTCTCCTTCTGAGAAGTAGCGCCCCCCCCCCAACTCCTAGCAAGATGTACGACAGCCAGAGAATTGAAGATTCCTTCCCAAAGTCCAGTGACTTATTTTCATTGGAGGACCAGGCCCTAGCTCTGGAGTGGGCACCTCACAGGGAGCCCTGAGTCTCAGCCCAACTGGTCTCAGTTGATGTTTATACTAACTGCATTTTCTCTGCTATCTAATAGTTGTTGTGCATGTTTCCTTTTGTTTTGATTTTGTCAAAAGCAACAGCTTGTATATATCAGACACATAGAAATGTTTTGGGTGGAAATAAATATCCAGGTCCCAGCCAAGGGACTGATGTCGATTTTTCAAAACGTTTTGGATTCCCCCCTAATGTTTTTCAGGCCACCAAATTCATTTCTCTTTTCTGGTTGTGGTTTCACTGCCGGTGTTTCTTGACTGTTCATTAAATGAGAAAATGGCTTCCAAGTCAGTCAGGAAATGGTATATAAAAGCCTATGAACAAAATGTGTATGAAACATCCAGGGTGAGCGGAACCACGAGCAGATGTGAGTGTATCTCACACATTAAGCGAACCCTCAGCTTGTTGCAGACTGGGATTTCCGCATTTTGCCTAAATTTTTAAACTCTGACGCTTGCTGTTATTGGGGGGCTGCGAAGATGTGAGTTTCCTCAGATTTCAATAAAAATAGAAATTCTTCAGATTTCAATACAAAACATCTCTCCCACTGTGTTTTGCTCAGGCTTCCCTTGAACAGGCTATGCCCTATGGAAATCCTCCATACTGGCACCTCTGCCTGGAGCCCAGCAGGCTCCCTTGGAAAATGTGGCTTCCGCACCCCCTAGGCCTTCAGAGCCTCTAGCTCAGGCTGGGAAAGCTGGGGCCTGCTCTGAATTCACCGTCCTCTTGCAGACCCCAGGTCTCAGCTAGGTCAGAGATGGAAACTAGAGAATTGCTAGCTTTTAGCAAGTGAGAGAATTAGCAAAACCACTAAATCTCTAATACTGACTATTGAATGGTTCCAACTCGCCTTCCCTGAAGCGAATTTGATGTGTAGTTTTAAAATGTATTTTAAAGAGCTCCTTTGAAAAAACACACAACGGGGGAAAAAGGAAGCCAGAGGCCCAATCCCAAGAAATGCTTCCTCACCTGGTGGGGCTCAGGGAAGTGGTGGGACCGAGAGCCGAGTCTCTGCGACAGTCAGCGGAGGTTTGCCTCCCCCAAAACAAGCTAACAAAGGCGGAGGCCACACTCAGACCTCAAGCCCGGAGGGCTGGGTAAAGGACCAGAAAACCGGACTTAGACCCAGACCCTAACACAACACATAGAGGCTGTTTCTTTCCAACATATAGCATTAAATCATCGTGTTCTTTTGCTTTAGCCTGGGATGTGGGGTAGGAGGAGAGATTCACGGAGACCACTCCCCAAAGAGATTGCAATTATTCCAGGTGTAAAGTTCTGTCTGTCGTTTGGGGCTTCAGCAGTCTTTTTCAAATCTATCCCTTTTACTGATCCATATAAATACAAAGGCGGCGATGTCCTCTCTCCCTTCCTAGCCGAGGTCCTGGCAGGGATTTGGAACCACGACGAAATTCGAAATTCGTAAGAAACAAACGCCCGGAGAGAAATGATGCTGAAATCTGAGTGCTCAACATTTCCTCGTACAAAGACAAATGCTGCAGTCCAGGCAGGCCTCTTAAGCAAGAAAACGATTTTTAAACGAGAAAAAAACAGCTTCGTCTGGCATTCAATCGGCTGCAAGCTCAGAGGCCGACGGGGGACTCTTTTAAGGCCTGGGGGCTCTCCCCAAGGGAGGCGGGCTGGGGAGGCTTCCGGAAGACCAGCGGGTGGAGGAGAAATCCAGAACCGTTGTAAATATTCATGTCTGGGGGGGGGGGGGGGTGCCCCTTCACTCCGCCTCTCCCAGCTGCATCCACCCCCCTTAGTGGCGGGGGGGGGGGGGGGGGGCTCGGCGCCTATCCGATCGTCCTTGGACAAAGGTGATCTCCCCACATTTTTGTTCTCCAGTCACTTGACTTCAGGAGCCTATTCCGAAGGCTCTGCAGGGAAGGGACTGGCTCTGGATGTTTTCCCTGCGTTTCTCCTCTTCTTTCGTTTCCTAAAAGAGCATAAATAATTAAAGTTTGGCAGGGAGGAAAAGCTTTCTTGCAGAACTGTAGTGGCAATAAATGAAATGACTCAGAATCCCTTCCCCAGTCAGCTTTTACGAGAGCTGCCAGACAGTGTCTGTTCACGTTCTCCAGATACCAGGGGCGCCCTGACAAAGTTAAGGTCAAGTTAGTGTCTTATCTTGGGTGGCTCAAAATTACCGCATCGCGTACGGGCGCTGTGCGGAAAGCTACCACTCGCGGAGCTGCTGGCTGTGCCCGGAGCGTCCGATGCGCTCCCTGCGCTTCGAGTGGGGCCGCGCAGGGAAGGACAAGGCCACAGCGCTGGGGTCTTCACGGTAGGTTCTCGAGCGGGACGCGCGGGTCGGGAGGCTGCGGTTTTCCTTGGGTTTCCGGGTGAGGATCGAGGAGGCAGCTGGGGCCAAAGGGCGAAGCAGGCTGGGCCCAGAACGAAAGCCTTGGACTGGGTGTGGGGGCGGGGGTCCGGGCTACTGCGCGGAGAGGGGTCCGCCGCCCCTTTCTCCTATGCACCCGCGCGCCGCTGCAGATGGCGCACCCTCCCCCGCCAAAGCGCGGCTCCAGCGGGAGCCGCCGTCGCCATGTCGTTGAACTTGAATGGTTCGTCCTCCCCATTTCCCTCTTCAGCGGTCAGGAGGCTCCACTTTGGGAGCCTGCGCCCCACCCTGTGCAGAGAGAAAGTGTGAGAATTTTGCGCACCCCCAGACACATAAAGACCGAGCTGGGGGCCCCGCCGCCGCTGCCCTGGGTCCTGAGCTGCCGCAGGGCCAGTATGTAGCGTCCGGGGAGCCATTTTAGGAGAGAGATCTAGGGGCGTCGACCACGAGCTCGGGAGGGAGAGGCTTGGGCCGGGGATGGAGATGGCGAGGCAGATAAGTGTACTGGCGGTCTGGGCTGAGAAGGGGGTGAGCTGGAATCTGGGCGAGGGTGCCAGTTTCGAGAAGGGTGCATACAAGGATGGGCAGTTCTGGGTGGGAGGGAGGCTCCTTGCCCTCCAGTCGCCACCGACCTGTTTGCGCAGCGTTCGGAGGGAAGCAGAGGTGGGAGGGGGGCAGAGGAGCGAGAGTGGGAGGGAGAAAGGGAGGGAGGGAGGAGAAAAAGGGGGGGGGACACCGGCCAGAAAATAGATATGAGCTCTGATCACCCGCCTTTTCTCTGTCTGTCGGTGTGGTGGGCAGAGCTCACCGCACGGGCACTGCGGCAGCCGGGGCCAGGGAGGGAACCCGCTTCACAGCCTGCGCCGCCTGCCCTGGGCGTAGGGCAGAGGCCCAGGACCAGAGCTGGGATTGCCTGGGCAGAGGAATCCTGGGGAGAGGGGCAGCTTCCTGCCCTTGGTTCTTGGATTTGGGTTTGGGGAGCTTCTTTCTAAGACAGATTTTACCTTTGGAAAGCGCTGGCTGTCCCGGAGGTGGGAGCCCAGGCCTCGCCTGGACCCCTGGGCTAGGAAAGAGGGACGCGGTGGCCGGCCGCCGAGGAGAGTGAGGCCTTGGGGCGAGTGGATGGGGGGCCCTCAGGGCCAAGTGGCGCAGAAGGCCTTGAGCAAGGAGGCAAGAGCCCCTGAGAGCCCCTCCTCAGAGCCAACGGACCTCCCAGGGGGCCGCAGTGACCGCGCCGGCCCAAAGGCACCACAGGAGCCTTGGGGAGATGCGGCGCGGATGTGTAGGCCTTGGCGAGGCTCCGACGCAGGGAAGGGGCTGGATGTGAGGCGGGCTGGTCCCAGTCCAGGCCAGAAAGCAGAGATGGTGAGGAGGGCGGAGGCGCCGGTGGTTTGTGTCTGGTTAAGGGGGAGCGGGAGCCCAAGCAGCCTGAGAGTAGGACTCCAGATCCTTTTGTTCACCAGACTCCCCAGCTTCTAGAGGGCCACGGGACGTCTCCCCTGGCTGACCTCTCTCCTTGCATTAGCACTGGGAGAGAAAGGCAGAGACGCGACAGGGAGAGAGATAGATACGGTGACACACAGCTAGGGGAAGGGAGAGAAGATCAGAGGAAAGGAGAGGAGAAAAGTAAGAGGAAGGAAGAAGGAAAGAGGAAACGAGAGGGGAGTGAGAGGACAGAAGATGCTTAAGAGAGACGAAGGAAGGAGAAAGAGAGACGAGAACAGAGAGAGGAGAGAAGGAGACAGGCCAAGTGGGCACTGAGGCCCTGGCCCGGGTCAGCTCCTGGTATGGTTTTGGCGTGGGTTTTCCAAAGCTTGCACTCCCGCTCCTGGGGTCAGGAGTGGCGGGAGCCAAGTTACTCCGCGGTGAACAAGCCGGGCAGAGAAATATGTAAATCAGGGCTTCTTGCGCCCCCGAGAGCGGCGCAATTAAGCCCCTTGAACGAGAAGCAACAAGCTCCCAGCGGGCAAGCTGCAGAGGGTAGCGGCATCGCGGGGGAGGGAGCGGCTGCAGGAAGGGGTGTGGGGGGTGGGAACCTCACACCCTCACACCTAGTCCCCTGTGCCCCGGGCTGGGTCTCCCCCCTCCGCTCTCTGCTTCTTTCCCTTCCCCCTTCCTCCCCCTTCCTCCCCCTCCCTCCTCCTCCCCGCCGGCCTCGGTCCGCGTACTTAAAGCGGCGCGGGCGGGCGCGGGCGGGCGGCCCAGCCGGGCGGTGGCAGATGCACCCAGCAGTGGCAGCCGCTGGCGGCGCACAGGTGACCGGCCTGCGGCGCAGCCTGGTCAGAGGGCGCCCAGGGAGAGCTGGCTGAAGAGGGAGGCCGATCCGCCCCCAGCACGCGCGTGTCTCGGCGCCAGGAGCCGTCCTGGGGCGTGTTGGCGAGCGCTGATATAGATATAAGGACATTTCTCTCCATGGCGTCACGTGACATAATTACCACCAGAATCAATCAAGATGAATTGCACGTCAGCGCCCGGTGGGGATTTTTGCTTAGTTGATCCTGGCCCAAGCCTCTTGTGCAATCGATGGCTCAGGTTGGCGGCTCGGGGAGCGGCCCGGGGCTCGCCGGCGCGCACGCCACGGAGCCATGAACGACTTTGACGAGTGCGGCCCGAGCGCAGCCAGCATGTACCTGCCCGGCTGCGCCTACTATGTGGCCCCGTCGGACTTCGCCAGCAAGCCGTCGTTCCTGTCGCAACCGTCGTCCTGCCAGATGACTTTCCCCTACTCTTCCAACCTGGCGCCGCACGTCCAGCCCGTGCGCGAAGTGGCCTTCCGCGACTACGGCCTGGAGCGCGCCAAGTGGCCGTACCGCGGCGGCGGCGGCGGCGCGGGGGGCGGCGGCGGCGGGGGCGGCCCCGGAGGGGGCGGCAGTGGCGGCGCCGGGGGCTACGCTCCCTACTACGCGGCAGCGGCGGCGGCGGCGGCGGCGGCGGCCGAGGAGGCGGCCATGCAGCGGGAGCTGCTCCCGCCCGCGGGCCGCCGGCCGGACGTGCTCTTCAAGGCGCCCGAGCCGGTGTGCGCCGCGCCCGGGCCGCCGCACGGCCCCGCGGGCGCCGCCTCCAACTTCTACAGCGCCGTGGGCCGCAACGGCATCCTGCCGCAGGGCTTCGACCAGTTCTACGAGGCTGCACCCGGGCCCCCGTTCGCCGGGCCGCAGCCCCCTCCGCCGCCCGCGCCTCCTCAGCCCGAGGGCGCTGCCGACAAGGGCGACCCCAAGACGGGGGCCGGTGGCGGCGGGGGCAGTCCCTGCGCCAAGGCGACCCCCGGCTCAGAGCCCAAGGGGGCGGCAGAAGGCGGCGGCGACGGCGAGGGGCCCCCGGGGGAGGCGGGGGCTGAGAAGAGCGGCGGCGCAGGTAGGCACCGGGCGCGGGGTGGGCGGCTGGGCCCGGGGCCGTGGGCGCGGGGGGGCGGGGGAGGCGGGGGCCTCCCTCTGCTTGCGCCGTTTTATGTGCTACTTTATAAGCGTTCGAAGGGGTTTATACATCCTATAAGATTTCCCCAGCCGTTGTAAAGCGTGTTTACGATAGGAAACCAATTTAGGTGGGCTTAAGGTAGACTTCGAGTAGGACATTAATCGCTGCAGAGAGCTTTTCCCAGTTTGGGGGGGGGGGGGGCGAGGTCCCAGAGACCATGAAGGGAGAGAGGGGAGATTTCAAGTCAATATGTGAGTGTGGACACTCGAGCGTCCTGCTTTTAAGGGAGGGAGGGTGGGGGTGGGGGGAGTTTGATTCTTAAACTGGACTTTATCCAAGCCGCTGGCTGACGCGCTGCTGGCTGGAGTCGAGCAGATGCCCCGCGCGCTCCTGTTTCTCTCCCTTTGGGTTCCAGCTCAGAGCCTGCCGCGCCCCCTGCTTCCCTACCTCGGTGCCAGGCTGTGTGTGTGTGTGTTTGTGTGCCCGGGCGTGAGCACAGGTCCACGCCCGCACTCTCTCCTGTGCCCGCCCATATTTCATCCCCACGACGCAGGCAGGGCCTTTCAGTGGCGGCAGGGGACATCCCCAGCGGGCCGAGGCCTGGCCCTCGCGCGGGCAGGGCGGACGGGCGGGGGTGGGCAGGCAGCGGCCTCTCTCACCCCTTGGTCTCCTTGCCTTGCAGTGGCCCCCCAGAGGTCCCGGAAAAAGCGCTGTCCCTACACCAAGTACCAGATCCGAGAACTGGAACGCGAGTTTTTCTTTAACGTGTACATAAACAAAGAGAAAAGACTCCAACTCTCTCGGATGCTCAACCTCACTGACCGGCAAGTCAAAATCTGGTTCCAGAATCGCAGGATGAAAGAAAAGAAACTGAACAGAGACCGTCTGCAGTATTTCACTGGAAACCCCTTATTTTGAGAGCTCCACGAAGCACCCCTCTCCCCAAAGCCCCACTCACTCACCCTCCTCCCCACCAGCCTGCTCTAGGCAGGCCCAATGTCTTTGGGTTTAAATGACGTCTCTCCTCTGTGGAACTCCACGATTCCTTCCCACGGTCAACTCGGGACCTCCCAGCGACCACTGCCGCCTGCGGACGAGGCCAGGGACTTGGCCGAACGGATCCTAATAAGGGGAAAATGGTAAATGCAAACGTCCCTTTACAATTTTACCGCCAATGTGCTGTTGTTCTCCCTCCGTCTCTCCGAGTCCCCGTGGGGACGATGTGGGATCTATAGAGAGTTAGGCCATCAGGCTGGAAGGCGCTTATTTTTGTTCTGAGTTTAAGGGACCCCGTCTTTTCCCCTTGGTAAATGCAGATTATTCAAACTCTGGGCAATGTACCTTTGATCTGTCTTATCAAGACATGAGTCCCTATCTTTTGTGTGAATAAATGGTTTCTAGTAAAATGGAGGTTACAGCTTCAATACACTGTATGAATTTTCCTCTTTGAAGAAGTTTAGTGTCTGATTAGGATATTTTAGTGGCCAGAACCTTCTCCTCCATGCAACTGAAAATCAAGCGAAATGCTTTTTAATTCTGCTAAAATATGAGTCGTTCCCTCCCACCCCCTGTGGGCTACACTGATTTTTAAAATCACTTTAGGGATGAATTTCTGAATTGAGGATGTGACCCAGCCATACTGCTGCTGCCTTCTCCAGGCGATGAAGCTGGGGCAGCAGGAATCTAAGAAGCAGACTCTTGCCCCACCCCCTCCAGTCTAGTGAACTTGGAATTTCTGAAAAGACAAAAACCATTTTAAAAAACTGGTTAGGAAATCCAAATTCACTCTTAAGAAGGTGTCAAGGAGCCTGGGTCGCTTAAAAGAAGAAACCAACATTAGAGCCCTTCATTAAAAAAAAAAGTTTGCTAAAAGGAAGTTATCAGTGAGTGGAGGGCGCTTGGGATCCTTGCTAATGTCACAGCGGGCCTGGAGCAGGGAAGGTAAGCCCCCCTCTCTGGAATAGGGCCTGGGGCTGCAGACCCACTTCTCACCACATTTATCGCTTCAAGTTAAAGAATGTGATGGGGGCTGCACTGCACTTTATGTTGCTGGGCCAGGCCAGGCTGTTTACAAAACCTTGAACTGTCTAGACAACACCATAAAAGCCTAAGTTCTAAATAGCTTAATTGGGTTATATTATACACCTTCTGGTGGGCCCAGAAGAGATTTCCGCAATGTGCAATAAACTGCAGGAGTGAGAAAAGCTTCTCTTTCTCTGAAAAGAGTAAAGTGAATCTTATGACTCTTAACCTCTCATCAGCCCAAAGTCAAAAAAATAAATTCATAAGATGTGCAGCACTCCATACATCCATTCCAAGGAGGCATGCACTTCCAAATGCAAAATTTTTTTAATTGCCAAAGCTTTTTTGGGGAAAGAAAAACATAAGTGCATAAGTGTATGCCTTTGAACTTCCAAAATGTCAAGGTCATCACCTTTAACCTTTCTGAATAATTAGGCACCTTAAGGTTCTTCTGTGATATTCAACCACCACCCACTCTCACACACACATGCTCACACACATCCAGACCCCCACACACATTTATGACCACACAGAATCATATCTGGGCTCATCATAAATCTAAGCAAATTCCTAATTTCAGGATCAATAACCTTAATTTCCCTTCAAACATTTGTGTAATTCAATAGCAATTGACTTCTTTTTAAAATACTAGTTAGATTAAAATGTCTACCAGCATGCTTTTAATACAACTAGGAAACGCTGGAGTGGTTTTTTAGGGGGAGGGGTTGTAGATAGCAGTCCCTTTTGCTCTAATGAAGAGCCGCGGTTTTAAAAGCAGGCATCTGAAAGATGAAGTTCCATTCGGACTTACACCTTCGTTATATTTGGGGGAAAAAGTCACCCTGTCAAATTATTGCACTTTCTATGGCATGGAACAAAAGAAGATAAATTTATATTGTTTTCAAAAGCGTCCCTCAACCTTTGGCGAAAGATGCAATAGAAACAAAGATTACAATTGAATAATTTCGTTCGGAAAGGGATTCCTTTGTTTGGAATTCTGGGCATCCGTTAAAATGTCAGTGTCTTAGTAATATGATTATTCCAGGAGCTTAAAACTGGTTTTTTTTCTTTCTCTCTCCATCTATCTTTTTTTTTTAATTGCGTCTAAATGTAGCAAGCTTGTATGTCCACCACCGTAGGCAAGCCGAACCGAGATACCATTTTCCGTTTGCATGGCCTTGCAGAGCCACACGGGGGCGTGCTCACGTTCCAGAAGCCGCGTTTGGCGGAAGGGCCGCGGTACCGTATCTTTCCAATACTGGGTTCTAATAGGCAATCTCAGCCCGTTAGAAACACGGGGCCGATACAGTGTGTGTTTGCTGTTTGTTTGTTCTAAGCAGCCATGAGGCGTGGGAAGTTGTGTAAAGACGGAGTAAAGAGAGCTACCCAGATTCCTGAAACAAGCGATCACCTAGTCGTTGTCTCCTTAAAGATAAAGCTGCTGGAAAAATTCCTTGGTATAATTCGATGGTGTCGAGGAGAGATTTTTAAAAGACAAATATGTCTATTTCAAAATGGGTCATGACACTGCGAGTTAATTAAATTAGGGGAAATCAATTTTCTTGTTGGTTTGAGTGTGGAGAGTGATAAGAGGGTAGGACCACCCCCTCCCCAAAACCGCGTCCGCCTTGCGCGTTCTCCGACCGCCTGCGATGATTAAAAGGCTTTTGTTTAAGACAGATCTAGGCACTGGCAACTTAGCTGAGTGTACTCTCAGGAAAAATGAGACTGCGTCGGGACAACGTAAGGGGGTCGTTCTGGGCGACGGACTCCCCCCGCCCCAGGTTGTGCCTGGTGCCCGGGGCTACCGGTAGCGATCAGGAGGCGCAGGCAGGAAGGACTAGGAGTTGGGGCGCCTGGGCCAGGCTGGGCTGATGGCGCCTGCGGGAAGCGGCGGGCTATCCGCGAATCGTTTATACTCCAAGGCGTCATGGAATGGGGAATGCATTTGAAGCAAACGGGCTTTGCATTTGACAGAACCCCGGCCACCCTTCCAAGCCGCTTGCTGGCCTTGAGCGCGGAGTTTGATTTGGGCACTAGCTCTTGGAAGTATCTCGCCTCATGCCCTCCTCGCGGCCCCCCACCCCAACCTTTGCAAAGCCCCTGACATTGGGGATGGCCTGTGTCACCATCCGTGGTCCAAAAGGGAGGCTCCAAAAGGGAGGGCCGTTCTAAGGGAGGGTGGCTGTCCCTTCTTCATCGAAGTTCATTGTGAAGCTCACACAACCCCCGGAATTAGTCCTGGCCTCTTCGGCTCCTGTGTTTCTGTCTCCTCCCTCCAGGCCCTGGACCAAAGGCCCTGGGTCCACCCCTGGGAGCTGGCATCGGCTTCAGCGGAGGCTGGGGCGCCAGGAGCCCCCCCGCGAGGCGCCAGCCAGAGGCGTGGGTGTTCCCCACGGGCACCCCCGGCTCCCGCCTGTCTGACCGCGGGTCCAGCTTTGCTATTGTGAAGCGACATTTCCCGGGGCCTAACCCCGGCCTCAGTCCACGTGGGGTAAGAACCCTCCACCCGAAATGTTGTGTTCCTCTTTAGGCGGCTCCAGCGGGAGCGCCGGTGGCCTTGCGGGGGAGGGGGCCCTTGGCTTTGGCTGGCAGCCTCCCGCAGATCACCGGTGCTCAGCGGTCTGCAGCTCCTTTCCTCCTGGCAGCGCCCAAGAGGGACCGGAAAAAGGCTGAGGGATTGGACCAGGACTTCTAGGGGCTGAAGACCCGACTCCACCTGATCGTTAGGGCTGCGTCGGGCTGGTAGAGTGTGGCCATCTATCTTGAGTCGCTGAGTTTTCAGATCCCGAAGTGGAGGGAAAATGCAGGAAGTAGGAGTCTTTTGTGTCTGCAACCAAAAGAGGCTGCGCCGGCCCTTCTGTCTGTCTCCAGACACCCCTCATGTGTTTGTGGTGGCTTCCCCAGCCTCCCCATTTGCCTTCTTGGTTTTTTTTCACATTGGCTGGGAGGTGCACAGTGCAACCCAGAGGGGCACCCTAGGGAAGTAGCTTTTAAAATTTGTCCCCATCTACTCTGCCCCCAAAGAGTGGCATAGCCCTGAGGCCACGTAGGGCCCAAATTCAGGGTGAACCCGGAGCCCCAGGGCTGCTGTTCTTCTTCCCAGTGACAGAAGAGTGCAGATGCAAGCCACTTCTTGATTACAAATGCTAATTTCTTGCTAAAGCAACCCTTTTAATTTTTATCTAGAAAGAACTGTGCGGGGGAGAAGAATGTCTTGGTACAAATATGGATATTCATCTCTTTTATGGTGCAATATTGATTTATTATTAATGGTAACTGCTCCAACTGATCTAAAGATGATCGAAAACAGCAGCTATGCAGCTACATTAAATACTTAAGCAAAATAAAGGCAGGCCTTGAAAGTCACTGCCTTTTCATTCCGTTTGCTTCACCTTAGCCTTAGGGTCTTAGGCAAACTTCCCTCCTCCCCAGCCCAGATCATTCTCTAGTATTATTTCTGTTTTTCTCAATTTTTGTGATAAAACCTCCCTGAAATATTGGCAGTCTCTGGCCTCAAGGAGCTAGTCTGAAGGCAGAAATTTGAAAAAGAATAAAATAGAATTTTGTGATAATAGATACGAAATTATATCTGAAACATTTTCTTTCCTGTGAGCGAGGAAGACCTATTTAAAACCAAATCCAATGTGGAAGTGACTTTGAGCTTGAAGACATCGGAGCTGAAACAGAAAGGCCCCCAAATTAGGAAGGCAGCTCCTGCCTGTCCAGGCTCACTGCAGACCTGCCCACTCTGAGAGGAATCGCTGGTTTTTAGCCTGGATGTTTTCTTCATGTATAAATAAAGATTATGAAAGGGCATTTGATGGGCATAAAATTCCCGATTAGATTAAACAGTTTTGTCTCGCGAGTGGATAGGGAGAATTGGACAACCGAGATCCCGGCAGCTCCCCTGGCCGAGATGTAAAGGACGACAGTGCTGGAGCGCCAGGCTGGCGTCAGGGCGCCTGCCGCGAGCCCGTGCAGCGGGCACTTTGTCCAGCCTTGGGCACTCTTAGCTATGGCTGGGATCATGATCTCCGCCTTATAAGAAAGCAATTTTCGGGGTGCTGGTCAGTGGCTGTTAGCTTTAAACAGGACTGTAGCAGACTAGAGTCCAAAGTTGGGATTTTTTCCTGCCCTCCTCACTGCCCCCCCCCCCCAAGCTTAAAAACTGCCACCCCTGCGGAAAGGTAATGTTTAAACCACCAGCTTGGCCGGGCGGCATCCTGCAGCCAGAGCAGTTAGAGGCGCCAGGCTTTTAACCTGACAATGATGTTGTATTTGAACAGCTGCATAAAGGTTTAAAAGGTCTGTCTCATTGCCACCGTGGAGTTTTTAAAAGGGGTTATTGTTTGGGCGAGAGCACTGCGAGGGGACAGGCGAAGCGG